ACTCCAATATTTTTATTGTATTAGTTTGTATATAAAAAATAATAAAGATATAGTTATCATAATTTTTTAAAAAAATAGCGAAGCTAGCATGGCTAAGTTCATGTATCAAAATTTTTCGCTCTATTAAATGTAATTATCCAGATCCATACCGATGTCAGTTTCTTTGAAAATGTGTTGGACACTAGTATCGTCCATATTCCATCCTCTTTGAATATCACCGCATTTCCATAAACCCAGAACTCGCATAATTTTTTGATGCATGTGAATTAAGTCTCATTTAATCCATAACCTTGATCTTCCGCAATGCACTTTTTCAAGTAGATAATTGTGTACTTACCTCCAATAAATTCCTCAACCATATCTTCTTCGCGAAATCCAGAAGGAAGTCAGAGAATATATTTGACTTTATTTTTCTTAGATGCGGGTATGAAATAGTTGAATGTCTTATATCGTTTCTAAAATTATATTGATGAATTAGAATTTTTCAAATTTGATAATCTAATCGATCAAATAATTGGATATGTTGTGCAACATTTTAACGGGGCTGAGTATATAATAAATAACACATGCATGTTTATTTGTGCGATTAACCAAATTCGATTAATTAGCATTCATATGCATTCTTTTTCTTTATCTTGGCGTAAAGACTTCTTATATCTCTGCATTATCCATTCGATAGATCTAGAGTGAGACATGGAAGGAAAACGTTTAAAAAGGGCAGTATTTCGAGTTATGATTGTAATCATTGACAAATTGTGTTTTTTTATATACTTTAAATTCTAAAATTTCTCGATTAAAAAAATGGAATCTTTCTTAGTTAAATTCAAACCAATCTCAGCAATAACCATTTTCACTGCGTTATATAAGTGGGTTGAAGCAGGCGAATGGACAGATGACCACGAAGAAGAAATTGAGAATTTTGCTGGAGTGCTTGAGACTGCCTTGAAACTGGTTTCTCCGGATGAAGAAGAAAGATGGGGGAAACTTCATAGTTTCGGAAATGATGAGACTTTGGAGCAAAGAGTAAGTCATTATAATTATTGATAGTTTAAAATATATTTGATGTGATGAATTATTGGTTTTCTTCGGGGGTGACGAAATCACAAGCATGTATCATGGGGCAGACATTCATTTTCGTCACTTTCTGATTACCTCAATGGATGAAATATAAAGTGGTATATAGACTGTGAATGTACCAACGTCTTCTTAGTATAAATACTTCGCGGACGTGGCAGTAGCTGTTTATATACATTAAACACCGAGTATGAATTTTGTTGAGGCTATGTATTAATCATTGGCTAGCCTATTCTTTGAAAAAATCTATTTTGAAAAAAGAAAATCAATCTGATCGCGCGCACATATTTATCATTACTGAATCGGTTTGAATTTCAGCTGATTAATGTTCTGTATTTTAGGTGTCAGAAGCATTTGATTATATCCGATCTTCACTGGAGCTCAACGCTTTGGTATGCTTTTTACTCAATGTTTCCAAAGAAAACCTGTATTGTTGCAAATGCTTATTCTTTACTATTGTAGAACGTGAAGAAAACTTGCCTCTTCAATAGAAAAAAGAGTCAAAATGTGAAGGAATCTTGGCTAATTGAAGCATTGAAAACTTTGAGACATTGAAGAATGAAGTACATAAGGTTCGTATTTTAGGGTAAAGCTTGTTCTTTTTTCTAACATCTTATTAATATGTGGAGTTTAGTATGTATTAGCAACGTCTGGGGATGAAAAGACCATGTGGAGGACTGTAGAGGAAGGATTGCGTAAAGTAAATGTGAAAGACTTGGGACATGCTCATCCACTATGCTCAGGAATATTGGATGATAGTTCTGAACCTTTTAAGGATATGTCGGAAGAGTTGCGCAATATTTTTAGGTCTTTAAGTAGAAAGTTTATAATACCAACAGATATTAAGTTAAAAGCTATTTGTGAAGAATTTGTCCAAAGCGAAAAGAAGTACTTTGAGAAAGTCCCTAAATTGGTTGAAGGAGTAACTTTTGGTAAGTTTTTAGATGTCCCCGAAACATTACATAAATTGACAAACCAGATGCTAGAAGCATTTAGTCGAATCTGGGGGTCCTCAAAGTGGAAGTCATATGTCTCGTCAAAAGAGCCCAACATAAGCGAGGGTTTGTACATATGTGAGGTTATATCACCATTGCTGAATATTGTAATGAGTGATTTACCTATAGATTACACTATATGGGGTGCTTGGTATGTATAATTTATAATTTTTTATTAAGTCTTGTATAATCACTAACATATTTAAAAAGGGGGGATGAGGCAAGTTTAGCCAGCACAGAATGCAAGGGTTCGAATAAGCTTGCAAAAAGACCCGACTACAGAGTTGTCGTACAAATTAAAAATAAGTCTATGGAGTTTGCATATCTCGAAACCGGTCAACCAGATTCTTCCGATGATAAGCAAAAATGAGATCATAAAAAACTCAATAGACTTGCAAAGGACTCTATTGATCTCACGAGAAATCCTAAATATGAAAGATTGTTCAGAAAATCGATGATGAAAGAAATGTTGACAATATTTACAATTAATATCGTTGGGAGGGTGCTAGAATTACATCAGCAAATTTTTTAGGGTAAAATTATTATCAATTTGGCGTAATATTTTTGCATCTATTTTACATACCCTTCGTAACAATAAAGTTTACATATATGTAATAAAAATGAAAAAAATTTATGTATAATGTACATATTAAAATTTTAAAAATTTACTTGTATGCAAGAATCACATCATTATTTGACACAAATATATACATGTTAATTGTATTTTATATAAATGGAATCATTAATTAATTAAAGAGCAATATACATTATTATTATTATAGTATTATTTAATAAATACAATTATGAATTATATACAATTATGAAATATTCAATTATCAATTATTTAATTATTCATTATCTTCAACACTTGAACTTTGTGATTCTTGTTCAATATCAGTATCATTTTCATTGGGATACTGTAAATTTAATTTAAGATAATTAGAAATGTAGCCTTTAATAAAATTACATCAATGAAGCAAATCTTACCAGTGTTTCATACATTTTTTCTCTGACAAATTTATCATCTGCTTTTACACCATCATGATGTTCATCTAAAACACAAATACATACTGCACGTGTATATGCAATTTTTTCACTAGTAACTTCTTGCTTTTTCCAGACTATTCTTAAAATCATTTCAAAATAAGTTTCATTATCTGTTACATCACATTCAGTTTTCTTACTATCAATATTCTGATAGCACCATCTTACTATGTCTGACTTTTTCCAAGTATCCACATCCTTCATAGATGTATTGGTATTTACTGGTGTTATACCACATTCCTTAAAAACTTTAAATAGGCTATCTTTTATTAGAGAAGAATATTGTCCTCTTAATTTCCTTGCTTGACCATGTGCCTAAATAAATTAGTTGTTTTTTATTTCAATGTATTAAAGTAAGCAAAAAAATAATTTTATTTTAACTTACATATGAAGATACTTTTTCAAGCCATAAAGGCATCCATTTTTCATTTTTCAAACGTTCAGAATCATGTGTTTTTAGTGCATCTCTAGACACATCCATTAATTCATCTTCAGTTGGGTAAATTTTATTTTTCATAAATTGTTTGATAGCAAGATTTATAGGACTCTGTAAATTATGTAGAATATTAAACATTATCATAAATTAAATGCACAAATCTACACATGATAATTACCTCCACTAGTCGAAAAAGGACAGTTCGGAATAAAATCAGTGAAAGATCGGGCATCTGATTTTCTACCGATTTTTACCTAT